AGCGCCCACATAATATCTGACTTATCTCGCACTACAAGAGCTCATATATTACTATTCTATAATGCTGATCCCGCTCGTGTTTAGGATCAACGACTCAAATAATGTAATCGAAGCACTGCCTTGTGTAGTTATATGCTCGTCTCTCTCCTATAAACTAGTATACTGATATAGAATATTAATCAGGCTATACCTAATGATTAGCTCTCGGCTACACATATAGACATGACTATCACTATACTCGACATAGGTACCGCATCAACTTATGACGCTCAATATGATATATGTCTCAGCTCAATCTACTAATATATCACACTGCTATTCGCAAATAATATGAGCTAATCATAACGTGCAGACGCTATTGTCGCAGAATACACTCTCGCTATATCTCACGTCTATACCTATATCACACTAAGGGCCCAGCATCGGAAGAAACACTCAAGTACCTGAAATACCTAGTCACTACTATAGTCCATACCGCCTCATATAATATATATATATATATATAAATATAATCATACATACTCTTAACCTCTATGATATTATCATTATACACAAACCACACCACACCACCAAATCACACATTTAGCATACTCATATATATATCTAATATCAATATATATATTAATATATCTATGTAATACCTGATAATATATATATATAATACTACAGCATACTATATGTAATATTAATATATATTGTATATATATATATATTATAACATCATATACTCACATAATAACTAATAATATATAATATAAATATATATACTATATATATATATATATATATACTATATACTATAATTATATATAATACTAATATATCATACATTACACACTCACATAATAACAGTATATATTATATATTACAATATAATATATATATTATATATATATCATATAATATATATATATATATATATATTGTAGACAATAAAATAAACTAATCGGTCACCGTGATTATCAGGACAGTTAAAATTGGTTAGTATTCCCACTCATCGATCGTGAGATCTCACCTCATTTTTAATTTTATTTTCATTTATTTCTGATAATTAAATACCTACGCCGTAATTATTATTTTGCGAGGGACAAGGTGATCAATATAAATTAAATATCTTGAAGACTGTAATGTTAGTTTCCATCAATTCTTTGGAGACGCCTTTATCCAAATTTATCGCCCAAGCATGGCGATGATCTTCTTGGCCAGGAACTGTCAATGGTTAGGGCATTGTGAGCATACACGTTGTCATGATGAAGCAGCCACGAGTTGTCTGCCCAACTTTCGCTCTCTTCTCACACACTGACGAAATAAACGCCAAGTATCTCTTTATAGACGTGGTTGATCGTCTGGCCCATGACAAGAACTCGCAGTGGACGATCTCCCTCGCATCTTTTGGCATCAATCCGGGACTTTTCTGACACCACCCTCGTTCGCTGTGTGTGTGTGGTGTGTGTGTGTGATGTGTTCACCCACGTCGCACCTGTGGTGCTGATGCTGTGCCTGATGTGTGTGGTGTCGTGTGTGTTGTGTGGTACACATTACCAATAGTATATATTATGTATACATTAGTAACGTGATATATAATATAGATATATAGATATATATACTACTCTTATATACTATATATACATCTCGACAAGGTGCTCTGTGCGTTGCGCCCCCCTTCAGGTATAAGAAACCTGACTACTTGCCCGGACAATGCACTGTTCCACTTCACACCTTCCATGCCACCTTCACCTCCGTAACAGAAAATATGTTTTCATGAACTTTAGGATCAGGAAACCACGTGCTCTATAATGTGTTATCCTTATCAATATGTGAAATTCAGCGTTTTAGGAAAGCGGAAGTGAGTCAGGGAAAATATGTAATAAGCACCCCCCTTGTGTGTGTGTATATATATACTATATATATATATATATATATAATATATATATATATATATATATATACTATATATATTATATATATATAATAGTATACCATATGAGACCATATATATATATAATTATATATATATATATATATAATAATATATATCTATATTATCAATAGTATATACTATGACTATATAGTAATTATACACAAACTCACACACACACACATTCAGCTAAATATAAATATATAATATATATATCTCATTCTCACTCACCAATATTATATAACTATCATCATATATATATATAAATATAATAATTTTAATTTATTAAATTTAATAAAATAATTTTTATATTTATTATATAAACTATATATATCATAATACACTAGTATACTCACATAATATTATATACAATATAGTATACTATATATCATATATATAATATATATATATATATATATATATATATATATATATATATATCATACATACACCACTCACATGAATATCATATATATATACTACAATATATAATATATATATATATATTGTACACAATAAAGAAACTTAATCGGGTACCCTGATTACAGCAGTTGAAAATTTGGTTAGTATTCCCTCATCGAT